CTAGTTAAGTTTTATTTTAACTTTCAGAGTACTAGATAAGCTTTCTGCTAAGTGATTGTCTTCTTTCCTTTTACTTTAAATTCTGCTCTTGGATATGTACAGTATAAAGACATACTTTCCAAAGTGCTGGATTTCCTGTAATCTATCCTTATTTTTTTAGTAGTGCTTTCTTTTCCTATTAGTAGAGACCATCAAATGGTCCATTTAAACACTTTATATACCGTATCTCTTCAGAATGTTTTCAGATATCCCTTTTAAGACCAATTGAGGAGCTGTGCTATTTCTAAAAAAAACAACTTTGAAACAATTTCATGATGTGAATGGCGAATTTGCACTGTGGTTTGTACAGTACACTTGTATAGGAGAGTAGTTTAGCTTTCTACTGTACTTGTAGTGGAGCACTCTCTTGGCACTATGTTGTATGATGGACTGTGTATACTAGTTAAGTAATATAGTGCCATGGGACACATGTGATTGGTTATAAGTAGTCAACTTTGCCCCCTCTTCATAGCACAGTGAATGTAGGACAAGCAGTGAAAATATTTTTTTAAATGATTCTTTTGACCTGGATTTTTATTGGTGCTGTACTATAGCACCAGCTGCCCACTTTGTGAGATATGACACTGTAGAGCTGTATAGGTTTTGACAGTGCAGCATTTATGGTCTTTGCAATCTGCACAGACATTTCCCAGTGGACTTAATTCACAATAAAAAACAAGAAGTGGCATGACTTATTGGACATGGCTATGTGTGTCAGAATGACATGTATTTTTAATGTGGTACAAATAAAAATAAAAAAACCCTGAAAACTGTTTTAAGTTCTTCAGTGGTTGGCTGTTTTAGTTACCAGGATTTAAAGTCTGTGATTCATTTTAACCTCAGGGAAAAAGCAGATGAGCCTTTTTAGAAATGCCTTGGAGTTGTATATAAGACTATGATAACCCCACAGAGTAGATGTGTATTTGGTGGAAAAGGTTAAACTACATACACTACATATTTATTTCTGGTGTTGACTTAAAATGTCCTCTTTGTTTTTCAAACAAATACTGTAGGATAGATTTCTTTGCTGAGCATAACGTCAGTTTTGTCAAAAATGGAATGTTGCTGAATGTGTTTCAGTTCAACACAGAAACAGATATTATGTTTGTAAGAAAGCTGAAAGTCAAGCTGCAATACCAGTGAAATACCTGGGTTAGTTACCAAAGAGAAAGCAACTTGCAGAATGCAATTTAAGTGGCTTGCCTTAAGTGGTTTAAGAAGCTTATTGGTTAATGTAAATAGTATATAATGGCTCTTGAAGATTGCTGTATTGAAACCTGACAATTATATTTCTAATCCTGATTATTGGCTTGCAGTGTTACTCCTCAGAAGGATATACAGTATACAACATATAGGAAAAATAACCCACAGTAAATTTGCCTCAGTCTGTTCTGCTTAATTACTTAACACCTTAAGAAGGCTCCACAGCCGAAATGTGTTTTCTTTCTTCTCTTTTCAGCATGGAATAAACCTGTTACTTGTTGCTTTATAGTCACTAGTCTTTTATAGTCCATATACCAATCTTCATATCTGTATATATTGATGGAAAATTAGATATGTTGTAGATGAATCACAAGGCACTGATAACTGCATTCACAAACATCTGGGCAGATGCCAAAACTATTTTAAAACCAGGATTTGTTTGGAATAACGTTTATATTCCACTTTAAAATTGTTATAGAGACATGTTTTGTTTAAGTGCATCTTGTTTTCTGTTTTGGGAGCTTTGAAGCATTTTTTGTCTGTAGAGTCCCTGAAGAAAAGGGAGCTGACTGAGCATGAAAGACACATCTGATTGTTCTCATTCCTTCAGACATAACTCTTACCGGATGTGAATCACATTAAACACTAAATAAATGCACGTTCACAGGTCAGAATATTGGGAACACCCACAAAATAATGATTGAACAGGATGTGGTGCATGTCCCATAAGAGTCTGAAGTATTTGCAGCCCACTTCCATCTTGGTTGGTGTAGCATAATTTTCTTGAGCTGAGGTTGTTGTGTAGGGGTGAGCTACAAACTCCAGTAAGTCCGTCACTATTCCAGAGTTCCAGAGCAATGCATTGGTCATGATAAAAGATGGAAGTCTGTTTCATCTGGTTCATTCCACTGGGGTTTCATAGTGTTGATAAGAAAGATCTACTTAAATATGTTTTCCACTACTGCCACAATTTGTTGCCTAGTTTTTTATTTTGTTTAGAAAGACTCTGAAAAGGAAACTGTCCTTTTTTGTGTTAATAACACCCCTTTTCTGGTACTGCATGTCTTTTACCACTGTGTAGGTAACAGCCATTTTCTACAAACAGATAACTCGATGTGCTTCAAAATATAAAAGAACACAGAAGTGACGCATGCTATAAAGAAAAAAAAAATAATCGGGAGACAAAAAAAAACGTTGCACGCCATTTTCTTCACAGCTGACACTTAGCGAAATCCCTACTGAGATTAGTTGTACCAATTCCCTTTACATTCTGCTTCACTAAAGTCATGCCAAAGCAGTGTGGGAGCATCTGTACGTGGAAGATTTGGACAGTGAGCAGTACACTAAATAATAAAAAAGCAAACATGGAGCTTTGAAGACACGACGGCGCTGTAGAATGGATTTTATTCAGTGCCTTTGTTGGTGATTATCCAGGAAGGCAACTTGAACTAATTAGCTGTTTTAAAACTATATTTCTGCAATGTCAGGTTATTGAACATGGCTGTTTAATGTACTTAGAAATGGGATGACATTTATTCATTTAATTAAAATGACAAGGTTTTCCTTTTCTGGTTCTGAATGCTTGATTTGTGCACAGCCTATCACAGTAGTTTTAAACTTCTAAAAAGTTTTATTTTTATTTAAAAAAAGCAAATCCAAAACTTTGTTATACCTGAAGATATTGGTTCTTTTGGTCCCTTTTATATAGCATCCATTTCTTTGATAGGAGCATTTCAAAAGGCTGATTACATGTAGTGAAGAAAGGCAAAAACACATCTTGAAGAGGTTCACGTAGGGAGCTGCGTCAGTATGCGTAGGCTGAAAAGGAACAGGTAAAAGTTCATTCCATGCTGAAAGAAAAAGATAGGAAACACTGTATTCTGAGGAAGCTCCACAGTCAAAACATTGTGTTTCTTTACCTTTCAGCATGGAATGAATCTGCTCCTTAAAAGCAAATCTTTGCTATCTTGTTTCCTTTTAATGAACTGAACATAGTACTTTGGTGGTTAGATTAAACCGGAAAATAAGTTATTTCAGTATTTGAAATGGGATTTTCGGAATAGTCTATACATTTTTGGATTTCATAATATTGTATTAACTGCATGTATCCGAAGTTCACCAACCTTTAGAAACTCATGTGGATTTGTATCACAGTTAAAATACACAATTGTTGACAGGTTATAGTGCAATAGGGCTAGTTTTTGCTATGGAGGAAAAAAAAAACGCAAAAGACTCCATACATTTAACAACATAATTGAGTTAATACATGTTTTGTAAAAACTACAGTCATTATGGTTAGCTAGGCACCTCCTAAGTGTGTTTGTGTATTTAGGTTAATTTTCTGTCAAATACATTCCTTTTGAATTAAGATTTCTTTGTTAAATTTACCATACAATGCATCTGTTTTTTTTCTTTGAGTAATCTATGCTATTATTGATGAGGCTGTAACGTGTAGATTTTGAATGTCATCCAGAGCAAGTTTTTAGTGTTCCTTTTTCATCATTACTAGAGAATGAAGTTTTAAAAACACAAAATTGAAGAGTCTTGTTTTGGAGAAAAAGTTGGACGTGTGTTTTAAATAGATACTAGTGTTTGGAAGATATTGTGCTATTAGTCTCATTACTAAATTCAGAATGATGATGTTGAATCATTAGTGTACGGGGAAAAAACACCAACATTTTATCCGAATGTGACCGCATAAGCCAGCACAATGCCACTGCCTCATTACCATTCAAAATAAAATATTGAAAGCCTTCCCACTGTTAAAAAACAAAGCAAAACTTTGAGACAAGTACATAACATTCAGTTATTCCCAATTTGAAATGCTTCAGAGGTCAATTCAAGTTTGTAATCTGACTATGTTAGAAATGCACAGACACTGTATGTGTTTCAGTAGCATTTGAAATATTGGTGTCATTTAATGTTTTTTCTTCCTCGTCAACTCGAAGTTTTATTACATAGTGATAATGAAGGACCTGGCTGGGAAATGTCCTTAGAATGATTTTTTCAAATAATTAAAATCCCTCTGTGGGGTAATTCCTGAAGTGAAAACGAGCGAACTCACTTTAAGCTGTGACCTGTAAAGGAGTCCTTAATTTAAGCAAATAATGAGAAGGACAAAATGTTTACAGGAGGCTGTGGCTTTGATTTCCCAAAGCCATCAAAGGCACTTTCTAAATCGAATATTTTAAAATTGAAAAATAAATATGCATGTGAACCATTGTGTTATTGGGGGGGAAGGAAGAGAAAGTACAATAATCTGTTTTTCTTATCTATTTAGGTTATCCATAAAACCAATGAAACATATATAATTGCTTTGCACATGGATTTCTGATTATTATTTAAAAGAAAACTTACATGAGTTTATCACTTAAAATTTTCATTAATTTGTTTTCCAAAATTAAAATTGTAAATTATAAATTAACTAAGAAATGAGAAATTATTGAGTGGCAGCTACCCCAGCTGTGCCTGGTATTGTTTGTGCCTGCAACACTAGCTCTTACAGATCTTTTTGTGATCTATGTAAACTGCAAGTTTGTAGTTAATTAGGCTTACACGTAGTATAAGTGAAAATTGGGTTCCTGTGTAAATCAAAATGACTGCCTGTCATTTCTCTGTTGTTGACACACAGCCTGTAACACTAGTTCTCCAGTTTTGTTTTTTTACCCTTTTTTACTTCAGATACCTTGTTGGGTTCTAAAAGATACCAAAGAACAACTTCATTAGTGCTTATTGTTTCTTTTTCTTGTTTTCTACAGCAAACTCCAGTCTCCTGGGAGGAGGAGGAGGTGAGTTCTTGGCTATTTCATGCTTCACACACTTCTGTTCTCTTGCTTCTTGCCTTAAACTTCGGGTTTGTATGTTTTATTGCTATGTATATGTACATTTCTGTTTTCAAATGAAAGAATAACTTTCTCTTTTGCCTTTAATCTTCTTCCAGCTGAATAATTTAAAGGATATAATCACCTTCATGATAAATTTAATACCTTTTAAATGCCATTAACCAGACACAATTAAAAGAACACAAGCTTCTCCTTTTTGGATTTTACCATTATTTCAGTGGTCTGCCAAGGAGTATTTTTTTTAATCAAAGTATTAGAAAAAGCTTATACAACTGAACCATGAAGTCAAAATCTAACATTATTATTAAAAAATGGAACATTGCTCTGTTTCCTACTCTAGGAACTGCTACTCTGTAATTTCTCGCAATGTGACATAATCAAAGTAATCATCCTTAGGAAAGAGAACTAAATTAACCCAATTAGAGAGAGAAGATTGATCCAGATATAAAATTGAGAATCAAATAAACCCAAAATGCTGGAACCACTTTTTTTATTTTATTTTTCTTCCTTGCTCTTCACAATGTGTCAGTCAAGATCATAGTCCCTAGCCAGACCATCTGTATGCCTCGTCTCACAGTCCTGTCAGACAATTAACAGTTCTAGATGTAGGGCTGAAATACTATCCATATGTAATCACACTACTCCAAGTGCTTTTTATCTGATTTGATGCTTGGTTAAGTCTTCAGAACTTTACCTATTGTATTGGTGGATACTGTGGTCTTGATTTTTATCTTTGAAAGAAGAGACACCCCATATAATCTCTTTAAATCAAAAGACTTTGATTAAGGGCAAAGGTCATCAGCCTAGCCCAGAAAAACTCAGAACAAACTTGGCATGTTTTGCTACAGATTCCAGAAATAACTTCTGTGCTCTTAGACACACGTTTGTTTTTCAGTACCTGCTATGTAATTTGATTCATTAACACCTTTGTTTACTGTATTTTTTGTATCTCTTAAGTTTTGTATTATGCTGAAGACATTTTTTCTTCTTGCCGAACTGTCAAAAGAAAACATTTGGAAAAAAATGATTAGCTGTTTAAGCTTTTTTTTATGTGCTTTAAAGTCTTTTTTGGCTATTTTTAGCTTTTTTCAGTTATTTTCCTATTTATTAGTGCTGTTTTGATTTAGAATTCTTTCCATTTGGGCATTGATTTAAATTACACAGATTCAAATGCAATAGATCTAACTTTATTCCCACATCTTTTGACCTGGTTATTTTGGACAATTGACTGTATAATTTGCTTCATATACTTTTTCTTTCTCATCATGCTTGTATTTCAGTTATTTGTTATGGGGTTCATTCTATGTTAAGTGATTTGTTTATTATGTTCTGTCTTTTACCTGCATGCAAAGAAAATCAATTTTGTACAATAGAATGAAGTAAGGTACAATATGAGCAGATGATCCATTATTTTCTGTTATTCATGAGATTAGTTTGAATGAGTGTGGTGGCAATTAGATCGAGCTCTTCGTTTCATACTCTTTATATGCTGGAGGGAAAAAGGTCTACACTCCTGTCTCAAATTTGCAGTGATACAGGTGTGACGCTTTGTTTACAGTTTTTTGAAACTGTATTATTAAGCTTAAAAGTGTGTTAAATGGTATCTCATTAAGCAGTCTCATAGATCAAAAGAGTTTCATTTCCTCAGTGAACATCTACTCCTGTGTTATTGCACTATAAAGGAAAGATAATCAAAATTTGCCACAAGTGTATCCTTCTCTTTAAAGTTTTTCTGTTTTTGGTGGTTAATTATCACATCGCAAACCGCTTACTAACTTTCACTCAAATGGTCTTCTGTAAAGCACAGTTGTCTTGTTGTTCTGTGATACCCTCTGCGGTTTTCAGGCATTCATTAAAGTCACACAATGTTATGCTTTATTTCTTGTTGCAGAAAAAGTTATTTTGCAGTATTGCATGCAATATTATTACAATATTATCACATAGCTTGAATGTTGTATTTTTTCCCCAGAGAGATGTGTAGTTTGAACTTTGGGAAAAAGTTACCATTGGTAAAGGATTTTTGCCTTGTGTATCAGACTCAAAAAGATTTTCAGCTCTGAGAAAATAGCCTTCCAGTTGGGTGGTGAGGGATTCTAGCTGTCAGCACTAAAGGAAGGTCTTGGGAGATAACAAGATACCGATTTTCTCATCCAGAAACAGGACCTTCTATCATCATTCCTAAATCTGCTTTTGCTCAGTGTGGCATTGTGTTGATTTTATAAAAATATTCTATGCAAATGAATAGGTACATTTTACAAGTCTTTTTTTCTCTAACTTGGAGTCCTTTTCCAGTTTTCCTTTCCTTGCTATCAATAAGTGGTAATCTCCCATAGTCAAGAAATTGAATCCTATCCTGATCAGAGAGTTTTTCTTGCTACTGCAAACTAGTCTGCTTATGTCAGCCTTTTCCCTCATGCCCTTAGTGTTGGTTTGTGTTCCACTTGAACTCAGAAACTAAACCTTGGAGCATAGAAAATATGCTGCACATCACTAGGTTACAATAAATCTCAGTGCAGAGGCATCACTGCATTCTTTTAATAAGGCAGAAGTCCATTGGCTGCCTTGATTGCATCCTGTAACAGCTTATTGCAGTCTTGTACCTAATTATACTGCCCATGTTAAACAAATGCCCAAATTATAGAATGGGGTTTATTCAGAATTCCTTCTTTCAACAAACCATGTCAATTTCATAAATCCCATTTATATTATGTCTGTTGTTTTAGTCTGATTGTTTTTCCTTTTGTTTTCATCTCTGAATTATCTCGTTTCTCCACACTGTTACTATTTAATGTAACTAGGATAGAAGTTAGTGTCAGGGGGAAATAGCCGTCCATAGATCAGCTGATTAAACTGGCTGATTTTATTTACTTTTTTGTGAGTAATGGGATAGGCTCTGTCTTTGCATGAATTTATTCCAGGTGGGCCGGCACCAGTTCTCAAGGGGTGTTGTCCACCAGATTTCATAGGTCTGTCTAAATATCCACTTTCTTAAGAACAAGACATATTTAAGCTTATCCAATTTAGAAAATAATGAGTTAAATTAGATAATTAAGGTTTAAAGTGAAAAGAAAACTGGAAATCTTCTGGCTCTCCTGGCCTGGGGTTGTGTCCTGGTGATTTACTGCAGCAAAATTGCTTGTTCTCTTATCTGGCTTGAACTTCGTACACTACAGCTGCTCAGATAGTGGCTGTTCTAGTTCCCTGCATTGTAGAAGTTTGCTGCAACAGGCACCTTATTCAATTAGTAGGCTCAGTGTGATAAACAAGCCATGGGCTGTACCATTGGAAGAGCAACACTGCATTACTTTAATGCAATGATACTTGCACATTGTCATCATTTCACACAAACTCTTGATGACTTAATTGAGTCAGTCAGTGTCTTAATTACCATAATTTGGCAGTTTATACAGATCTTAAACCATTGAGGATTTTACTTTATTGAGGAGCATGAATTTGTATTACTGCTGATGGGGGACAATGCTTTTGAACTAGCCATCCAGAGAAGGGGGATGCCACAGTTTGGCCTTCAGTTCATATGTTGTTACAAATGATGCAACACTATGATTGGTGTGTTCTGAGTTTTGTTTCAGCAAAATATCAATTTAAAGATTCGAAATTCAGGATTTCAGTGCTTGCAAAACCTAAGTTTCATAGACTTCAACAAAGGGTTTGGAAAATCTACCTACTTAGTAGGAAAGGCTGGGTTTGATCCTCGTATACAACCCATAGAATACTTTATACATTTAAAATTTGTACATAAACTCATTTTACAATATAGTCTAATTATATCAAATATGCAATACAGACATTCATCATGGTTTTTACGTCATGGGTAAAAACGTGAAAGGTTAAACTTCATTAACAAGCAATTCGTGTCATGTTTTGGATAATAGGTCGTATTGTTTTTGACCAATCTCTTAGCCTTCATTAGAAAATATAAATTAAATAATTTTCTGTTGCAGAGTAAACATTGTCCTGACCTAGCACAAAAGGTTTCACCAAGAGGATCCTCTTCATAAAATCAGTTATTTGGAATTCGCAAGTGTTTACATAAAAGAAAATATTTTCTGCTTTAAGGTCGTAGAATTTGCCCTTGACATTTTCACTGTTCCCAGATGAAATTTAAATGATGCTTCAGTGAGGCATAGGAAATATTTTTGCTTCTTAAAAAAAACAAAATCGTTTTGCAATTACTCCTGCAGAGTATTTAAACCGATTCACTTCTTTTCCCAAGAAGATATTGAGGCTATTTTCCAATGGTAGACATCTTCACTTTTACCCAAGTGACACTCAGATTTATGTGAATTGCTAAGTTATGCAATTCAGAGTAAATCTAATAGGTTGCTTTTTAAAATCAGCCACATATATTAACTTAGAATTTCATCTAAAATACTCACACTTCAGTACTATCATATGCCCATTATAAGCAGAGTTGCTATTTTTTTCCATACATCTTTATTTACTCGTTTGCTTGCTGCTATGAAATTACCTTTTAAAAGTGACTCTACCATGAACAATGAAATGAAAAAGGGTGTTCAATCTCACTTTGTTTGGCCTTCCTTCATTTGCAGCCGATCTTATATTCTTAACCTCTGTTTTCAGGGACTGCATCAAGATGATAGCTGCAGTTTGATTATAAAAAAAGAACTTTTAGGCTGAGGTTCAAAACCCATTGTTTTTCTTTGAACCTTTGTATCTTGTTTAAGATCTAGGTTAAAGATCTAGGTTTAAGATCTGTGTCATCCAGGTTACCAGTATTGTAAGTGGTCTACTGTAGCCTGGTGTTATCAGTGACAAGGTGCATCTTGTGATTTCCTCATGCTTATTTATTTAGAAGAACGGAGGCCATGACTGTTCTAGTAGGAGCACCAATCACAGCACTTTCCCCACCTCATGCTTTGTTGGTTTATCTGCTGTACTGTTTTTATGCCCCAGTCGCTGTCAGA